TGTCCCATGGTAAAGGCAATATTCATAAAATGTCCAAATTGAGAGATAAAAGCAACTAGATCCTACGGAATGCAAAAAATATATTTTTTTCGGTTAAAGAAAATAATTCAAGCTCGTACCTACAAATTTAGGCACAGACAAGAAGATTTTTTTTATTTTAGTTTTAGAACACTTCCTTCCCTTCAATCATTCATTCTTTTTCTCTATTAGTTAATCAAAAACACGTTCCATAAAATAAATTGGACAGAAAGCATAAAAATAAAATAAGCAACAATTTTAACAATTCAAAAATAATAAATGGGAACATCTAACTGGAACACATTTGGCTACAACAGCGGCTGTTGAACAATCCTATTCACTAAAAGCAACGTGAGCGGAATAATAAAAACTCCTTTTCAGGAAGTATCTCCGTTTGCTAAATAAAAATATAATAACTACTCTTTATCTGTGGGTAAAATTTAATGAGATGACCAGCAGAAAAGAGCAGTAACACTATTTTTTTAACTAGTCCTATCATCCTACTACCATAGACAAATTCACTCTAATAACTAGAGAAAAACACATTTTTTTTACATTTTCACGTACGTTCGTACTGTTAATAGCAGGTTATCATTGTAAAAAAACAAAACAAGCTGTTAAATACCATAGCCCGCTCAACCACAATTCGTTGAATTTAAATGGCAGCAAGTGACAAAGAAAACCTGTTTAATTACAGAGTGACGTAAATTTCAGCCATTCAACGCTGTCACGGTTTTTTAATCCGGCTAACGAACGGGAACACAAAATGCCAAATTGGACAGTCGAAGCTTTTGTTGGATTGCTATTTACTTTATAGATGCAAAAGTATAACGGACATATAACTAGCTATTTTGAACACAAAGGTAGATATTGTCACGGGAAAACAACCCAAAAATAAATACGAATTTGTTTTAGTAAAACCATAAACAAGGCACTGTGATGAAAGCTCCAAAGCGATCACGTTATACTTTATGAAAATACAATGCCAAGACTTAAGATCGTTTGATTATTACACTACAAGTTCGGTTGATTATTAATTTTTAAAAGACAAAAAGTAAATAAAAACTCTTCTATCTCTAAATTACTTTTTTTACTTTTAATATTTTTCGCACGTATCTGGTAATATTTTCTTCTAGTAAAAAACACAAAGAACCACTTACAACTTTATAATATCCATGATGAAAACTTTCAGCGGGGCGAGAACAGAAGTTTGAGTGGAATTTGCACATCATCATATAACGACGAAAGATGCCCCAGACACAGACGATTACCAGACTAGTAATAAATAAAAATTGTAAAAAGTCATTTTAACTTGAAATTTTGAATTTTTGTCTACTAAATATGTTTAAAAGAGCTTTCTTGAATGTAACTTATAATCCTGTTAAATCAATACGACTTAAGCTTAGTGATTTAACTTGGTAATAGCACGCATTGAATGTTGATTACTCAAACGTATCGTGAAAAAAAAGTAAAATTTACTTCGGCGCGGTTACAGCAATCAAGTCACGAACGCTAACAAATACATTGTGAATACAAATTAATGTAAAGCGACTACATTTTAGAGGGAAAACACTTTATTATTACTTTTTTTTTATTTCAAAATGTCTTAATTACAATGAAGTAACGCAACTAAGGAAACCTTGCAATAAACGCAGGAAAATTTTCAACTATATGAAACTTTCGAATATTTATGGACCATACAAATTCAATATCAATTATACTTAATTATAAGATTATAATTAGAACTAATAATTTAATTGCATGTTGTTTTGATACCAAAGTACGTAAGCCTTATAATGTTATTAATTATTACCTAAGTATGATAAAGTTTGCACAAGCTTGGAAAGTTATGTTTCGAAGTTGATGTGATTAACGAGTTGCCGGGTTTTCTTCACTTCGTTGTTTTACTATCGAATATTAATGCATTAATAATTTATCGATATTGATAGAATTAACATTGGTTACTTTATGAACTAGTTCGCTGTAAACTCAACATTTAAATCCTAAACCTGAATTTCCGTCATCCCTGTTTTTTTGACTCATTTCATCTTTGACTAGTTAGAGTTATATGTTTTAAACGCTATAGTAAGCTTGTTTTGTCTACACTATGCTTCGATACGCTGTATTCAATATTCTGTAAACCATGGTGGTTGAATAGCACTTGATAAATTATTTTTATCATTTTGTGGCCTTATTATCGTAATCTTATATATAAGTAGGGTGGAAAAAAAAGAAATAATTGGTACTCTGAAATGATAATGATAGTTTTATTTTAATTGTCTCAGGAGAAGAAAATAATATTAATCGGAAACTTTGTCCCTAAAGTCTGTACCTACCCGTATCTTGTATATCAAAATAGCAAGGCCAGTATGTAAAACATAATTTTAAGGCATAGTAACGTAGCAAAACATAGAAAATTAAAATTCGCTTAAAGGATAGACTGAACGAAAGCTGTTATTAAATTAGTAAGCAAGCACCTTGTAATATAACAAGCCAAAGTTAACCAGCCAAGACGGAAAAACTGAACCAATAATATTATTTTTTTTTTATAATAATATATAATAATATTATTTATATGACGAACAAAGCATCTACGCAATTTATTGACTGACAATTATAAAATCGGAATAGTTAAGCTCATTAGATGAAATTTTATACTCCTTCCTAAATTAAGATTGTTTAACAATTTTTCTTGCTTTTTAATAAGTATTGTAAATTCTACCTAAATAAGGAGTCAATTATATTGCATAATATGTATGTACTTACCTAATGTTTTCTCTTTAAGTGAAAGCTAATTGCGCGTGCAACCTAAAACAAAACATATTTGATATTTATTTAAAAACACTAACGATTTAAATTTTAATTATGAATTAAACGTACCATTCTAATGCAATACATGCCAAACAATAGTGATAGGAGTAATTAGGTACAATCAGTGAATTACATTCGGCGATTACAAGTAAAAAAGTCTGTGTCAGTTTTCTACGCTGCTCGTAATAAAGTCTCTCTTCAGCGCTGAATGAAAATGTCTATATCTTTTCACAGCACCGCTCGCCCTCATTTCGCGTCATTAAATATGTAGCCTGATGATCTTTTGACACCTTTCCACACTATTTGACAGATAAGAATTATGAAAAAATCAGTTACCTGCACTAAATTTGACCTACCTAGACAAATTAAAAAATTCATCAAAATCATTTTATCACTGGAAACAAATAAAGTGATGTTAATATATAACTTATAAATTGTTTTTATTTGTTGTATAGTAATTATAATTGCTAAGTACAGTTATTCCAATATTATTTTTAATTTTTACACTTCCGAGATCCGCGAGTTTTCAACCTCCTATAATTGAAGTCAAATGAGATTCACGGATCATGTCGCCTTTAATTAATTCTTCCTTCTTAGTTTGAGTTACTTCACAGCTTCCATAATGTAAATTTCATTTTTAGAATTACCTAATTTAATCTATTGTTTTTTTATAATTATCATAATTAAACTTTATTAACCAAACTTAAAATTAAAGTGCTTACCTTAAAATATAAGAATACAGTTTTATACATCTATATCAAGTGACTGACTTTTAAATTTTAATCGAAGTCAAATGACCATGTTTTCCATTTTTATTATTTTAAAAACAGTTGCCGTAAGTCCATTAGCTTCTACATTATACTCGTATTACAGAAAAGAAGGAGAGAAACGCTCGCCCTAAAAGTTGATACAATAGCTTTTGAATAAAGACATGTTTTTACAATAGTCGTCGAGCCTGAAGCCACTTTAGCCGGCGTATTCATTGTACCTCCCCAGAGACTGTAACTCTTTTAAAGAAATTTTGCAAGAAATACACAAGAAAACTTTTATCGCACAATTTATTTTCGTGCCTTTGTGTAACTCTATCGTACACTTCGTGGTTACCGAAAACTTGAAGACATTAACTTCTTGAACCATTTGGATAACCTTAAGAAGCATTCGTTACATCTGCACTATGCAGTGCTGCAGAAGTTCTTAAAGACAAATTCCATACAAGACCTCAATAGCATCCAGATTAGGCGATAGCTTAATTTTAGCCGCTAATATATGGAACATTTGCGATAATTTCGAAAGAAAGTACATAGCTATTAGTTTTCGAGAGTCGAGAGAATCCAATTCAAAGAAATCAATCTGACCTTCAACAGTTGCAAAGTTCGTCACGTCTTCCTGTGGGCTTCCACTCTGTCACTTTGTGGAAGCAAAATTTGCGGTTAACAAAATTTATACATTAAACAAAATAATAAATGTGCAAAGGATACGGGCTATCCGCTCTACAACATGGGAACTAATAGTCCTAATAAATGAAACAGGAATTAAGTAAGATTAATTTTATTGCAAATCTTCCAAAACATTGCGTCGAAGCCGGAGTTTTACTTCGGCCCTCGAAATGGGTTCCTAAAATATTTATAGCGCAATCTCCTAAAAACAAACTGATCGGAGATCCCAATAAATCGTGCGGAACGCAGCATTCATCATTTGATTAGTGTTCTAGTTGACGGCCAATTTGCATAAAGGTTTGCGTAACGGTCTTTTAGGAACTATTTGAGGAAAAATAAAGTTTCGTCACTTTAAACTCGTATGACTTAAAAACTAAGGAAATCTATTAAACGAAATCAACTTTAAATATGTCTTAAATCTTTGTGAACTAAGTTTTATTCAAATAATATATATTTGTCTTTTTCTAGCATACTTCGGAAATCATTAGACTTATTCTAGGTACTCCATCATAATCATAATCGTCATTTGCCAGTGTTTATATTCCTACTGCAGGAAATAGGCTTCCCCCAATGCCTTCGAGAATATGCGATCCTCTGCCTGAATCATGATTTACAACAAAATAAATGGCATTTTTTTAAAGGTTTCTCGGTGCCGAAAAGCCAGATTGCAATTTGCCAGCAGTGATTAAAAAAACAGGCGACAATGACGTCTTGGCAGCTGTCAAACAGAACTGTCAAATGTTGTTTTATAAATAAAAACGATAAATAACTTTGTTAAATTGATATCAAAAGTTAAAGATCGAGAAATCAAATGTTTCCTCTTGTTCACACTGTGTGTTGATAAGAAACACATTATTTTCGTTAGGTACTTGGTGTCAAGGTCTCGCATATGAAAATAATTTCTAGAATATTTGCATTCAAGTTGAATTTAAAGTATGATTGGTGATTGTAATAAAACGTTGCGTGAGTAAATTTTTTCCTTTATAACAATAAATAAAATTACCTATCTAAAACTAGAACAAAAAAGATAATTCTATATATTTCATCATCATTTTCATATCCCTGACCTTATCCCATACACGTGGGTCGGAGGACAACATTTTATAAACCTTAAATTTTTGGCTTAATTTTTACCGCCGGTCGCCAACCCTCATCATCATCATCATCAACCTGTCCTTATCCCTATCGAGGGTCGGCACAGCATGTACTACTCCTCCATACATCTCTATCAGCCGGTCGCCAACCCTACTTAAAACATTATATCTAGTTCTATTAATTTTAACCTGTAAGTTTCAGTATAAGTTTTAGCTTTTTCAACCTAACACTAATGATTTAATTTTAACAAGTTTTACTATCAACAAAATAATAAGTTCATTAAAAGAACCCACAATTTGGTTCTAAAATAAATACTTTAAAATATTTGTTTCTTACAGCTATGAGCACTATTCCGGAGAGGTTCTTAAAGAATGTTTATGTCAACAAAAATGCTGTGGAAAAACAAATTAGATGTATATTAAATGATTACCCTGTAGTGGAAAATGAAACAATGAAACCATGGCTATTACGAGTTATATCTGTGATTGACTTGACTACTTTATCTGGAGACGACACTAGGTCTAATGTTGTAAGATTGTGTCAGAAGGTTTGTAGTATAAAATTATTATTATATTGTTTTAGCTATCATTGGAAGTTCTTTTCTCATGACATTTTCTTTTATTTGTTTCATTTGTATGCATTTTATATTCTTAGTGCCTATAGCTTTAAGTAATGTTTCATAACTGTGAGTAAGAATGCAAAATATGTGGTTATTTTTTACCATGTGGCTTAATTTTTTATAGGCTGCGAATCCCATAAAACAAGATATTTTAAATAAATTGGGCATTGATAATAACAAGCTTACGACAGCTGCAGTTTGTGTGTACCCTGCAAGAGTACCTGATGCCTATGACATTATAAAACAGATGGGATTGACTGACACCATACAAATAGCATCAGGTAAAACATTTGTACTGCTTAATTCTTTTATTTAACTTAAGCATAAAGTATGATTATCAAAGTTATATTAGGAACAAATTAATACATCACTAAAACAATGTGATCAAAATTCAAAGCAGCATGATATCAAACTAATTACCTTTTTAAACCATACAATTCTACTATATTCTAAATTTGAATGTTTGGATAGATGGATGGATGTTTGTTACAAGGTATTTCCAAAATGGCTCAACAAATGCCCCTGAAACTTGGCATAGTAAAACATAATCTGAAGAACACATATGCTACTAAATAAAAATATTTTTTATTCCATGTGGATGAAGTCGCGGGCTACAACTAGTATCAGTTATAAAGATGTTAAAGACTCCCTTCAATTGATTAGGTTGATGAAAAGAGTTACATCACATATAGTGATCCCATAAGATGTGTAACTCTTTACATCAGGGGATTGTAATGATATTGATTGTATTTTTTTCTAGTTGCAACAGGTTTTCCATCTGGACTGTACCCATTGCAGAGTAGACTGCAAGAGATAACATTTGCAGTCAGTAAAGGGGCGACTGAAATTGATGTGGTATTAGACCGCAGTTTGGTGTTGACGGGCAAATGGGATGAGTTGTACAATGAAGTGGTACAAATGAGACAAGCTTGCGGTGCTGCACACTTAAAAGTTATTCTTGGAGTTGGTGAACTTGGTTCCTATAGAAATGTGAGCATTACTTACTTCTTACTAATATTATTAATGCAAAAGCTTAGATTGTTAGAATGTATTTCTGGAATGGCTCAACAGATCTCCCTGAACTTTAGCATAGATGTAGAAGAACACATAAGCTACTAATAAAGTTTTTTTTAATACCGCGCAGAAGGAGTCACAGGTGACAGCTATTCATTAATATATTTCTGCAATCTTATATTTTTGTTTATTACTATGTATGCATGTGTCCATTGGCTAAAGGGTCCTATTTGCCCCCTTAATAACAATAGTTTTTGGTTTTAATTTTTTTAATCTATAGCTATTTTTATTACACAGGTGTACAAAGCTTCATTGATATCTATGTTAGCCGGTGCTGATTTTATTAAGACGTCAACAGGCAAAGAGGTTGTGAATGCGACGCTACCAGTTGGTCTAGTGATGTGCCGTGCTATACGCTACTTCTACCAACTGACAGGTGTCAAGGTATCAATTTTGTCTATTGTTTTGTAATTTGTAACCAGAAAAAATATTAAAATTGTTGGTAATTTGTGTTATTAAGTGCTTTTTTTATACAGGTGGGTTTAAAGCCGGCTGGTGGTATAAAGACAGCGAGAGACGCCATTAACTGGCTGGTTCTAGTATACACAGAGTTGGGGCCCGAATGGATTACACCAGATCTGTTCCGTATCGGAGCGTCAAGTCTGCTTGATGTTGTCGTGAAATCTCTCGATGATTGTACCAAGTTAATCCCGAAGATGTGATATAAATTATGTAGGTGGTGCAACCTCAGGAGTGAAGTTTATGAAAAAAAAATATGAAAATAGTATTTAAGAAGTACGAAATCTTTCATGTGTACACTGTTCACATATAATATTTTTATTTTTTTACATACTTTTTAGTTTTAAGTAAAACTTTATTCCATTTGCATTATATGAAATGTTTATATACAATTGTTATTCTCTATACATTTTATTTTGAATAAAAATGCTATATATATAAGACTTATATTTTACCTTGTATCTGCAAATGCAAATATCTATAATTTTGCAACTCCAAATAAAATGCATTGCAAAAAAAGTAAAAAAAATCATTCATAAGTATTATTAAACATTTTATTATACTATCGCCATAAATCTACATAACAATAAATTATTTATCATAACAATAACAAATTGCCTTGTTTTTTTAAATTGGCAACATTTAAAAGTTTTGACATGCGACGATAATGGAGTAAAGTACATTCCTTAAAATTGGAGAGACATTCATATTAATTGATGCGATTGCGATGAATTTATTTTAATCTGTTATGTGTTTTTTTTAATAAATTAATATGAGTACATTTAATAAAAAAAACAAGCTACAAAACAATTTATTGTTTAACACCTAATATTTTAACGTAAGCGTAGACCCAAAACTTTGTTTAATATATAACACGGTCAAAGCTTTTAACGGCTTAACTTTTAAATCGGGGTTTATCGGCACTGCTCTAAACTTTCCTCAATTGTACATTTCTACATTTGCTTTCTATTTAACATGTTTTTTTTTTCTTTGCAAAAACAAAATATTTACTTCATATGGCTTTTGGTCACAGTTGTTTAAAATTACCATCATATTAATCCTTGTACAAATCAATTCGGAAGTTTCCATGTCAATCAGACGAAAAAATGTAAGAATTACTTTGCAAAACTTTCTTTAGATTGTATCATTTTCAGAAATAGAATTTACTATTCTTTTTCTACAGGCGCTTTTTACTGTTCTTTTTCCACAGGCGTTTCAGCTCGAAAACCGTGTACGGGATCTGCGTCGTAGTTGACGACCCTCAGCTTGCCGTGCCTATCCATGTAACCGTAGTGGCCGCGCACGTGACCATCATTGTCACGTTCCTCGTATCGGAACTGACGATTTTTACTGAAACACAGAATAACATTGTTAGTTTAATCTAATGATAATTATTATACCTAAGATGTACGTTAAATATTTTAAAAGACAAATCTTAATAATATTATAAATGGGAATGTTTAGATTGATGGATGTTTGTTTTAAGGTGTCTCCGGAACGGCTGCATGGATCTTGATGATATTCGCCATAGATGTAGAACATAGCCTGGAAGAACAAATACGGAGCTGCGAGCGACGGCTAGTATTATAGAGTCATAAAAATAATTGTTATTCGGTGAATTCGAAATGTAGATGGCAAAGTAACAATGACAATCTACTAGATTCTTATTGCAAACAGTGTTTACTTTCTATATGTAAACAAGTCGCTTAAAAGGTGAAGCGAGATTAGAGATTAGGTAATATTCATGAAAATGGCGTTCGTTCAATTTAAAGTTCGATAATACAGCCCAAACTTGCAAAGAATTGATACGTTTGTGGTTATCCGATCAGTTTTCAAGAAAAACTAAAGATTCAGTCGACCTTTCGACATTGGGCGGCGTATCTTAGCTTAAGCCGGATAAAGGTTAAAAAGAAAAACCTTTGATGTACTTTTGTTAAAAGCACAATAAACGAAAAAAGAATAAACTCGAAGTTAGTCTACAATACTGCCTGAATTAGTACTTATTCGTTTTCCAGTGACATTGTAGGCAAAGTATATAATTTTCTTGCTTAAATTATGTTAAGACAAGAACGCTTTGTTCGCAATCTAACTCTAAAGACAATCGCCACAAGGCTAAAGATGTTGTACGCTAAGGTCGTACTCCTCCTCCTTTCAACCTCCCATCATCTTCACCCATATTTAAGTACTTAGTTGTTCCTTTCTGAAATTGGAACCTCAAGGCTTATAAAACATCTACATAATATGTTACATTAATTGAAATATTGTCAATTACAGGTGATCATAAGTGATCACTTTACAACGTGTGAACTACGCGATTTACAAGTTTACATGTAATGAAGTGCATGTTGTATGGATAATTTACCCTTTGCCGGTGTCGTATCCGAATTGGTAGCTATGCGGGCCTTTCATGCCGTGCATGCGGAACTCTGTTCTCTCGGCGGGCGCGGGAGGCACAGGGGGCGCGGGCTGCGATGCTGGCCGCTGGTTCTGCTCGCCCGATCCATAATAAACACTACCTGCATTATATCACCAATTGATTACCACGTAATACTGGTCATTGAATGCAGTACCCGGTTGTAAAGTGACATAACTTTCTCTCGACGATAAATGTCGCATTTTATAAAAAGTAAACATTCAAGATAAGTAAAGTAAAATAACCATAATAAATTCGCAATTTAATATTTTATTCTACTATTCTATAAATCTAGAACTTGTTTACACAATATTTTTTTTAATAGCTGCCACGCAAGTATCGTCTATCCGTGGAGAAATAGGACTGCTCTAAAAAAAAAACAGTTCAGAAATTTTTTACAGAACAAAAAGCTTTTATAATTTGTTTTGTTTTTCGTTAGTGTGATATAAAAATTGTGTCGTTTATGAAACGCAATCAGCGCAAGAGCACGTTCGTTTTCATTCAGAACTTTTTGTCGTTGGATAATTGAGCAAATCTCGATTAAACCTACATAAATTACACAGAAAGTCATGAGCGTTAAATTAGTCACTTTTTTTCGATCTACCCAATATTTTGCCGTGATCGATTTATTTATTTATCGTAAGTATCTTTATGGAAGAAACTGATTTGTAACTGTAGACTTAGATAAAAATGTACCTTTATAGTTAAGTTTTACTTACGTTCAGGATATGTGTTGTGGCTCGCCGAGGCTTGCTGCTCTGCGGTCGGCAGCTTTATATCCTCCTTGTTGTTGTCTGCCAAAGACTCCTGCAGAAAAACAGTAAGTTATGAATTTGTGTCCTTGGAAAATACTTTATATATAACCCTCCTTTTCACTTTATTACCTTTTCATTTAAATTTTCTTTTTGTAAATTGCGCTTCTTTTCGGCCTCCTCAAAAAGATAAACTTTTTTCTCATCCGGCGTCGTTTGGTATTCGTCGTTTGTACTTAACATCGGATAAAAAGGTTTCTGTGGCTTCGCTTTAGGAATTTCATCTTCATTAGTATCCTCGACATATTTAGAGATCGGAATGGGAATCGGTTTAAATCCATCAGAATATTTCTTCGGGTAAAATCTCGTCGGTATTTTGTGTTTAGTTAGCGGTGCGCTGTATGGTAACATTTGTGGCAAGATCAATTTTTCTTTATACAGACTTTGGAAGTGAGGTAGAAATCTATTTTGGCCGCCATTGAACGTGAGTCGTTGATGTTCTAAATTTCTATGGCCGTTCAATTTTTGAATAGCATTCTTAGGATATTCTAATTCTTCAGCAGGAGATGTAACAATGTAGTCATTGGGTGCGTCCGGAGCCGGGGGTTGCAATTCCGTGGATGGTGTTGGCACAGATGATTGTTCGTGTTGTAATTCTTTTTGCTGTCGCGTGTTCTTTATTATTTTAAGTGCTTCAGTTTCATTCATCTCCGTTAGTATGATTGGTACTGTATTGGGAGAATTTTGTGATAAATACGTCATTGGATACCAGTCGCTTTGATCACCAGGAGGGACCTGTTGGTATTGATAGTCTGATTGCTTCCCAGTCAACGGCGGTAGCAAATACGTAGCCAGCTTCGGTGCTCCATCTATAATAACTTGAGCACGCTTTTCAGGTTCGTGAGGAATAAGAAATGTTCTGTCTTCAAGATTCTCGAAGTAGACTGGCTCATGCAAATGTTCTGTAGGGGGATGGTCTGATGTGTTATCTTTTTGCTCTTCGTTGTCGACTTCAACTCTTATCGAAGTTACTGATAATACTGCGGTCAGACCCTTAAAAGCGAAATGTAATTTTTTTAATTCAGAATAGTCAAGACAAAACTATACGATATCAATGTTTCTATGTATATCGTGTAAAGGCTTATAACAAATTACTTTTTAAATAGCATTCGGAGACATTGTTTAAGTACGGACGTAGTCATTTAAAATTGGGCAACATTCATCAACAGACGTAATAAATAAATAAAAATCAAAAGTCCATTTTCTATTACGTAAATTTCGTAATCATCTGACGAAGAAAAGTGTGTCAAAACAAAAAAATCTCTTCATCATGTAAAAAATGAAATGAACCAGTGAGGTTATTGACAACTGTTAGAATATTTTTTTTACTTGACAATCTAAAAGTAAGTTGGTAAAGTGGGTTAAGCTTTCTTTTATTATTCAATTAGACATAACTTTTTATGTTTAAGTGGATACTGAAAGTAAGTGATCTATAAATATTTAGGGAACCATCTATATCAGAAGCGTTTTCTTCGAGTAATTTAAAAAGGTGTATTGAGGTATTTTAATCAATTAAAGATAATTTGAATTTACTATTATTATATTCTAATTGTCAACCGAGACTCTGTACGCGCGGAATTTAAAAAAAAAATATTATTAGTCTATGTCTAAATCCAGACAATGCTCTGTATGTATGCCAAATTTAATCGAAATCCGTTCAGCCGTTCTGGAGATACCTTCAAACATCCATACATCTTAATATAATATTTGTAAGATATAAAATTAGTACAAAACGAACACGTGTCAATATACCTAAGAACATTAAAGCTATTAATCACATAATTCTCTGGACGAATGTACGATTTGTACACTGATCAACGAACTGGCAGTTTCTCGCGGAAATGAGACCGGATGTTCTTTCCTACTCCACCAAACCTGCCTCCATACGCTCGTTATATTTTCTACGTAATAAAGCCACTTTCAGTGCAGGAAAAAGAATGAATCTATGTATTTATCTTAGACGATAAATTAAGCCGGAGGACTAACTATTAAATACG